GCCCACAAAATACGCAGTCGATTCACTTCACAGCGCATCCTGTGAAGCGCTTTGAGACGCCTCGAAGACGTGATAAGGCGCTGCATCAAATGCAAGGATTATCATTGTCATTATTATCATAATAATATTATTTCCCATCGTAGAGACATTTTTCCTCAAAGTAAGGTTTGTCTCGTGTCCATAAGAATCTTGTCTCCTCTCTCTCTCTCCCTCCCCCTGTCCTCCTCTCCCATCGCCTCGCGTACCCCGCCCCCTCTTCCATCTCCGTTCAACCTTGACGGACGACCAAAGCTGCTTTATTTATTGCGTGAAAAACCCACTTGAGTGTGAAGGGAAAATAGGCTGCGCTCGGTCATTGCTGGAATTATTTACCGCGTTCAAGTAAAATGTGCGTTGAACTCCTGGCACCCTTGGTGTGGTGAGGTGAACGGGACAAGTTTAATAGGTGTTTCACCGGGGGGGGGGGGGAGATGGGTGGTGGGGGTGGGGGGTTGGAAGGGAGGGTTTGGGGTCACGCTTCAAGGATCATTGCACAGCCATGTTGCTAATAATACTAATATCCGTCCGCAGTTTGCAGATTAAGGCTCGGTTTGAGAACTTCCCACATTTCTGCGTGGCCTTAAAATTGGAGATGATATGAGAGCTCGGAGTCTGTGTGGCAGAGAGGCTGAAGGCCCGCCCGCCAATGGTGGTGCGGGCAAGGAGGGGGGGGGGGGGGGGCACGTGAAGCAGGCTGGCGAGAGCTGGGTTTATTTGTTAGTTTGCGTGGCTGGTTTGCCAATGGTCCAGCTGTACCCAACTGGTAACCTGTGTCCAAAGCTGCGCTCAAGGCCTGTTGTCGCAAGCCGTGGTTTTACTGTGGCCTCGTTGAAACGAGGGGCTATGAACAAGTAGCACAGTCGCTGCCTCTCTGAGTCCACTGATAAATCCCTCCCATGACAGGTTTAGCAGCCAAGGTAATGGAAGCATTTCACGATGTAATCAATACATTAATCTTGTACAAAAAAGGTTTTGAAGAGTTTAATGGCTGTATTCATTTTAATAGCTCGGCTGCTCTGTCCTCTCCTCTCTACACCATTCCCTCCCTCGCTCTCTCCGTCTCCGCGTTTTCCCCCCCCCCCCAAGATGTCTGTTCAGTCCAGCTCAGCCCCCACAGCAGATCTGAAATTTCACCTGGTCTTAGCCTTAAGGTTTTCTTAAAATTTGATGGAACTCGGAGCTCTTTCTGACTCTTTTCTCCCTTCTTTCTTCTCGCTCTCTCTCTCTCCCTCTCTCCCTCTCGCTTTATCTCTCTCTCGCTCTCTCTCACACTCTCTCACTCAGACAGCCAGCGTCAGGTGCCCAATAGCTTCTGCCGGGAATGGTAATTTGTCATATTTAACCAACAGGGAGTGTGATGTGTTTCTGAGATTAGAAAGGTTGCAGATCAGATTGCACACTTGACAGCTCTGTTGGGAGTCAATGTTTTCGAATCATCCCTGTTTTATCCAGCGGAATCCAGTTATTGGGCTGGTCTGCCTGTGTGTGTGTGTGTCTAGTCTCTCTGTGCGTCTCTGTCTGTCCGAGAGAGGTGGAAGTAAACAGAGGAGAGAGTTTCTGGATGTTTGGAGTGTCTGACACACACAGAAACCCATCACCGTTGCTTAAAGAGTCTCCAAACTCAACCATCCCATCTACACATGAAAATCCCAGAGATAGATTGTTGGAATGGAATTCGCTCTCTCTCTCTCTCTCTCTCTCTCTCTCTCTCTCTCTCTCCCCCCCGCAAGGATGTATCTTGCTTACCTAAGTCCGTAAAGCTTGATTCTTGCTGACTGCCTGATCAGAAATCACAACAAGAAGACAGACAAGTCGACAGTTACTAAGTGTTGAACCATTGCACTGAACGGGAGGATTCCCCCCCCCTCTCTCTCTCTCTGGCTGTCTGATGCGATCACCATCTGTCTTCGTTCACAAAGCAAAAGATATGTAGTTTCTCTGGCCGAGCACGGTGGCTGAGACTTGTTTAAGACCCTTTGAAAAGAGACGACTTAAGAGGGGACCTAATAGAAGGCTCACATAAATAGGCTGTTTCCATCGGTGATGGAGTCTGGAACCTGGGGACCCGAGTATAAGATGTCAGTTAGCGTAGATGTATTCGAGAGGCAGTTAGACTTTCACATGAGGGAGAGGGTGACAGAAGGGAGGGAATAAAGGAATGGGTGAGGACTCTTGGGGTATAAACTCCGGTACGGACTGGCTGGGTCGAGTGGCCTGTTTCCGTGCTGCAAACCTACGTGAGAGAGATGTCCGGTAAGGACAGAAACACGGAAGGAGTTTTAGGTGGGGAGAAAGATATACAGGGGAAGAGAGAGAGAGAGAGAGAGAGAGAGAGATACAGCGAATCGAACGGAACGTCAGTTAGCAAAGCGAATGTACGAGGTGTTCACAAAGTCCTGTTGCCGCCATGTTTTGTTTGGTACAGTGCGCTGACCGATAACTGGAACTGAAGCCTGTGCAGGATTGACGCTAAGTTGTACTTAGAAGTACTTAATGGTATTTAGACTGTCCAGAGGATGGCTGTGAGTGTGGAGTTTGAGGTATGGATGAGCCATGATCTGATAGGATGACGAAACAGGCTCGAAGGGCTGAATGACCATCTCCTCTTCCTATATTCCTGTATATATATATATATATATATACGTGTGTGTATCAGATAATGATCCTTCCCCATGTTGGGTTGGTGTGATATCTTGCGTAACATGGAAGGACGGAGTGAGGAGGAAGTTACCGGTATCAGACAATGTTACCCTCGACTCGTACGGAACGGAAAACAAAAATTAATTGTGAGGGAAATAAAAGGGGGAAACAGGACTTTGTGGACACACCTCAGAGTGAATCGCACAAAGTCACTGCTACATTCTCACTTGCTATCGGAGCAAGTTGGAGAGGTAGGGAGGTGCGATACGGAAATCTCTGTCAACACGTGTTCATTAACAACCTGCCAGTGCGAACACTATCGCAATCTGCGGTTGACACTGAAATGATACAGGAAAGCTAATAGGTTTGAAGAGGTAATTATATTTAGGAGGATTTTCGAAGCCTTAAGTGCTTGTTCGGTGGATGACCTTCAACGGGGAGCGATGTAAAGATTTATAACCTGGATCCTGGGGAGAGAGAGAGAGAGAGAGATGGAAAATAATAATTCTGAGTGTAAAATAGGAGGCGACGGGAACAGGCAATTAGGGGGAGAGAAAGTACAGCGAGGATTTTGTCGGTGGAAGGTCGCTTAAGATGTCTCATTACCTGTTGTGCTGCGAGACGACCTGATGGTTCAATGTCTTTTGATGAGAAATGCTTTATAATAGAATAATCCTTCATTTGAGGTAGAGCCCTATCACGCCATTGAGACGTCTCAAAAGCGCTTCGCAGGATAATATACTGTAAAGTGGAGTGACTGTGTATTTTGCGGGCGAAACACGGCAGGCAATTGCGCACAGCGGCGTCCCCCACGAACAGCCGTGGATTTTGAGTGACCCCATCTTTCTTTGAAGGGATTATTATCCCCGGAAATATGGGAAATATATGGGATAAGATTGGTCGCTCGTTTCATGGCGGTTTGCGGGACATTTCTGAGCGCAAATGGCTGCTGCGTTCGCCCAGAAAATACAGTCACACTTCACTGAGTATCCGGCGAAGCACTTCGCGCCATCCTCCTGACTTCAAAGATGCTGTGTGAAATGAGAGGGACATTGTTATTATGTTTTATCTTCAAACCTTTGGGTAAAATGTTCCTAGGCTAACACTAAGGGCAGGAGTGGGAGTGGGGGGGGGGGGTGGGGGGGTGTAGTGGAGGAGGAATTTTGGGGCCTTAGATATTCGCAGAAAATCCAACATCAAAGGGAAAATATGTACTTTGTTCTTTTGCCTCCTTCACAGTTCTGTCTCTTATTAATTGGCGTGAAGGGGCTTCCACTACTACCTGTGTGACTGTCCGTCTGATCAAAGTGGTTCATTAATCTCTTACCTTTTCCGCATTAGTTGTTGGAGCGACCGAGGGATAATAGTCAGCGGGAAGGCAGGGCGAGGGGATGTCGTGGGTTTTCTGATCAGCCGCTGGGTGGGGTGTGAGTGGTTCCCAAGTGTCAGCCCGGCTCACTGGGCAATCATTATAATTGTAATGATCCTTGCGTTTGAGACAGCGCCTTATCACATCGTCGAGACATCTCACAGCACTTTTAGGGAGACACCGTTAAGAGGATCGACTTTTGTGGGCGAGATGCTTCAAGTCATTTATCACCTTAGCCAACGTTTTTCACTCGGAATGGAACTTGAGGTATAATGATGACAATAATCCTCGCATTCAATACAGTGCCTTGATTTCAAGATCCTCATCCTCACCTATAAGGCCATCCACGGCCTCGCTCCCTCCTACCTCTCCGACCTACTATCCCCCTACCGACCTGCCCGTACCCTCCGTTCCTCTGGCTCCGGTCTGCTCCACGTCCCCCGCCCCAACCGCCCTACCATCGGTGGCCGGGCCTTCAGCCTCTCAGCCCCGAGGCTCTGGAACTCCATCCCCCAGTGCCTTCGCCGCTTCCTCCCTTTCCTCCTTCAAGACCGGTCTCAAAACCTTTCTCTTTGACCTTCAGCCTTCAGCTTCTCCTCTCGACTCCTCGCTCCTTCCCCCCTCCTCGCTCCCTCCCTCCCTCCCTTCCCTCCCCTCACTCTGACCATTTCCCCCCAATGCTCGGGTCCTGACCCAACTGTGCAGCGCCTTGGGACGTCCTCCTGACGTGAAAGGCGCTTTATAAATGGAATCTTGTTGTTGTTGTTATAGTGTTGTTGAGACGCCTCCAAGCGTTTCACAGGATATAGTGCAGGGACTGTATTTTGTGGGCGAAATGCGGCAGCCAATTATTATTATTTTATTTTCGTGGGGGAGGGATTGCTCTTGATGCCGTGTGGAGTTTGCGGTTGTGGGGGTGCAGGTGGTGACCCTGTTTCTTCGTCCCCGACAGATAACTGCGACAACCTCCTGCTGCCCGACCTGCCCCAGACTTCGTTCCGATCCTCCTCCGAGCTGTCTGGCAGCCACAGCCCAGCGTTCGCCAAGCTGAACCGAAGGGATGGTAAGCCAACAAGCCTCCTGTTTAATTATTTATCGCTCTTCCTTCCACCACCACCAACCCCCTCCCCCCCCCACACCACCACCAACCACCAACCCCCACCTCCCTCACCACCAGTCAGTCCCTATTTCACGGTTGCAGATGCGAACGCAGGGAACACACGACACAGGTCCTATCTCTCGCCACCGAAGGAAATGAAACCAGCCACTTGATATGCATTGAGTTACCTGCTTTGTCCCCTGCTGTCCTTTTCGCTTCCCATCATTGTTCTCGAGTGCGGAGAGTTGAGTCGAGTTTAATCCCAAAGCGGTGAGTGTGCTGACTGTGTCAGCCTGGCCAGCACTCAGGGCTCTTGAGTCAGAAGAAGCCCTCCACGTCAGGGACTTGGAGCTCACGGGGCTTAAAATGACTCTCCAACGCAGCACTAAGTGGGGGTGGGGGGGGGGGGTGTCACATTGTTGGAGACACCGTCTTTCAGGTGGATGTTACACATCCCGTTACGCTGTTCGAAAAGAGAAGGCGGTTTCTTCCCCTCTCTCTCTCTCTCTCTCTCTCTCTCCCTCTCTCTCTCTCTCCTGGTGTCCTGGCCGACAACACCACGCCCCCCCCCCCCCCCACAATCATCCCCCACCGCCACCCCCACAAGTAAAATTGGTCGCCCGCGTTTCGCCCACAAAATACGCAGTCCCTCCACACGACGGTGTGTCCCACGAAGAGCTTTGAGACGTCGCGACGAACTGATAAGGCGATGTATCAGATGCGAGAATGATTATTATTATTATTATTAATCCATTGATCATTAATATTATTAATTCATCGAGAGGCGAGGCGAGGCTGGGTGGAGCGAGCTGGAGATTAGGCTTCCGGGGGCCGGCAACAGCGAACGGGAGGAGGAGAACTTTCAAACTGCTCAGTAAACACCCTGAAAAATGGAAGGGTATTTATTATTGAGAGCCTGGGGCTATTTTCAAGGCAGAGGCCAATACTGTACTCTGCTCGAATTTCACTCTCGCTTTTCACTCTGTGACAACCCTCTACATTATCATTGATGCTTCAAAGTTGTCCCCCCCATCGACTACTCATTGTAGGGCTCAGTCAGCAACGCTCCCTCTCCCTCCCCTCCCCCCACCCCCCTTCGCAAGTCCGAAGGTTGTGGGTTCAAGCCCCTGTACGTCAGAACTCACACAGTCTACGCAAACTTTGCGAGGCCGTGGGATGGAGTTCTAAAGGGCGAGAGTCTTACAATAATAACACCCAGTCACTTTTTCTTTACCTACACATTGTGGGAAGCCACTTTGAGACATTCCTGATGTACAAGGCGTTGTACCTAATGCAAGCGCGTTGTTACTGTTATTATTATTATTATTATTAAGACGAAATTAATCGATGCTGTGAATGTTCAGACCGCTGAAGCAGAAAGCTCAGGAGAGATCTTATTGATGCATTTAATATCCTGAAGGTTGCAGATAAACTGAACCCTCTGATAATGCGCTCAACTTAATAATAATCCTTGCATTTGCTACACACAACATCAAGTTGTTGAGGCATCTCAAAGGACTTCACAAGATTTTACTGTGAAGTGGACGCTGTGGGCAAATGAGGCAGTCAGTTTGGAGCTAACCATATCCCCACAAACAGCCAGGACGTGAATGACTTATCTGAGGGTGTGGGGGGTTGGGTGGGGGGGGTAGGGGGGTGGGGGGTGGGGGGTGATTTGGGGACATGGGGCAGGAGGGAGATCAAAGAAGCGGAGAGGGAGCTTTCAGAAATAGCGTCCTGGTCACGTTAATAAAAACGGTCGTGCACTTCGCAGCTTTTTTAGGGATCAGCCGGGGGGGGTGGTGTCTGACACACGTGGAAATCCATCACCGTCGCTTAAGAGTCTCCAAACCCAACTGAGTATTCCCCACATCCCACCTACACATGGAAACCCCAGAGAGAGATTGTCGGAATGGACCGCACACACACAGCCCCCCTCTCTCTCTCTCTCTCTCCCTCTTTCCCTGGAGGGACGCACGCTGCTTACCTAATTCCGGAGAGTATTAGGCGCAGGTGGGCGAGAGCCAAGGCTTGGTGGGGAGAGGAGGGGTGGAGGAGGTGGGTGGGGGGGGGGGAAGCCCAGAGTGTGCGTTTGGGAGCGACCGCTGGAGTCTAACCCAGCAAAAACCACCCAGCTTGCCGCTGATGTCATTACCTCTTGGTTTTATTGCAAGGATTATTGTTATTGTTGTGATTATTATTATGTTGAGCACATCATTAGGGTTCCGTTTGTCTGGAACCTTCAGGAGATTAAAGGCATCAATTGTTCTGTGGCGTCCGCCGACAAAATACACAGTCGCCGCACTTCAGGAGGGGAGAAGAGAACATTCGTGAGGTTCCTGGGAGAAATTTCAGGGCGATGACAATAAATACTCCTTGCAGTCGACATAGCACCTTGTCACGCCGTGGAGACGTCTCGAAGCCCTTCACAGAACATACCGTAAAGCGAACGGTGAATCGAGTGGGCGAAACGAAATGTATATCAAGCAGCACAATGGCAGCAACAGCTTGGATTTATAAAACCCTCTTCACAAGTCGTGGCGTCTCCAAAGGCCCGCAGGCTTATTATTCTTATTATTTGTTAGTATTATTATTACTGCTGAGGTGAGATGATAAGGCTCTCACAAATCCCTTATGAAAGCAGCCATTGACAACACGGAATCACTGCTTTGTACCTGTGTTCGCTGCCATTTTCATGTTTATTCAAACCCGATCCGGAGATCCTCTTGTCACCTGTCTTCAAAGGCCGATGTGAAGCAGAGCCTCTAAAACCTCCTCCTCCATCTAATTTCTGCTCCGAGTCTCTCCTTTTTATCTTCTCCGCCTTCTCTCCCCCCACCCCCACCTCTCCCCCCATCCACACACACCACCCCCCACCCCCAGCCAGGCTCTGGCTTTAGCTGAGGTCCCGTATCTCTCATGAACCACCCCACTCCCGGCCCAATTTCTCGTTCCTCAAAGACTTAGGACGTTCAGAATAACCCCCAAAAATAAGAAGAATCAATGATATATTGGCGCAAAACAGTTGCGCGTTTATATAGCGGCTTTCGTACAGCGCCTTTCATGTTGGGAGGACATCCCGAGGCGCTGGACAGTGGAGGGTTTTTGTACCTGAGCTGGGGGGGGTGGGGGTCGGAATCAATGGGGGTGGGGGGAGTGGGGGGTGGGGGGAGGGGTGGTGATACAGGTGGGGGAATGGCCAATCCGAAAATTAATTGTTGTTCTTGTAATCTGTTGTAAAAAATATAATAATAATAATTGTTTGGTCACTTAATCCACCACTGTTTGTGGGACACTGCTGTGCACAACTAGTTCCCTCTCCTCCCATCCCTTTCCATCCCTCCTCCCACAGGAATGGACCCCACCCAGGGAATATAGAGGCTTCCTTGCTGTCTGGGCTGTGCTCAGTTTGTTGCCTGTGGGTGGGGTGGTGGGGTGGGGGGACAGAAAGGGAACAGTGACTACAGTAGAGGCGTGGAGATGTTTGGCTCGGTGTTATTTGCGTTAACGACAGACTGAGAATAGAGCGGTCCCTACCTCTCCGACCTACTATCCCCCTACCTACCCGCCCATACCCTCCGTTCCTCTGGCTCCGGTCTGCTCCACACCCCCGCCCCAACCGCCCTACCATCGGTGGCCTTCAGCCTCTCAGCCCCGAGGCTCTGGAACTCCATCCCCAGTGCCTTCGCCGCCTCCTCCCTTTCCTCCTTCAAGGCCGGTCTCAAGACCTTTCTCTTTGACCTTCAGCCTTCAGCTCCGCTCTCGACTCTCTACCCCCTCCTCGCTCCCTCCCTTCCCTCCCCTCACCCTGACCATTTCCCCCCAATGCTTGGGTCCCGACCCAACTGTACAGCGCCTTGGGACGTCCTCCCGACGTGAAAGGCGCTCAATAAATGGAATCTTGTTGTTGTTGTTGTTGTTTGGTGAGAGGCAAGCGGTGTGCGACGCTGCCTTTGAGTTTGATTCAGAGCGAAACCCTTGCAAAGCGGTCTCCGGGCTTCACACGAGTGACAGCCGGCTGTCTGTCTGTCTGTCTGTCTGTCTGTCTGTCTGTCTGTCTGTCTGTCTGCCTGTTCAACCAGCTCCCGAACGCCTCAACCTCTCTCTCTCTCTCCATTTCCCACCCCCACCCCTCACTCTCGATCTCCCCCCCCCTCCCCACATTTGCAGTCATTTTAATGGGGACTTTAGGCAGCTGGAACGTTCAGCTCGGAGCGTTCATTTATCCTTGTGAGCATTTGTTCCACGGCAGCCACGGATGCCTTTGATGCCTCCGTCTCTCGGAACCTAATAACCTCAGTTTCTTTCAGTCGACAGGAAAGAGTCTGGTTCTGACTTTGAGTTCTCTTGTTCCCCGGCTGTGCCGTAACTCTGTTCCACATCATCCTTGTTATTTTCTGATAAGCATGAAGGCCCCATAGCGCGTTCGAGCAGCCCGGCCTCGTACAACTCCTTTCTTGTCAGATGAACGTCTCTCACAGCAAGTGCTTAGCTGCCGGGCTATTGTCAGCTCCTGTTGCACACTCGTACAGTCCTGCAGCGTAGTGGTTAGAGAGCTCGAACCTCGCAAGCGAGAGGACCCGGGTTCGATTCCCCGGGCGGGAGGCTGGAAACGTTTACATCTCGGTTTACTCAGCAGTCAGTAAGGACCCGATTGTTAGTCGATTGACGGATCGCTTTGTGAGGGTAATAGTCCCTCAGAATTCTATCCGTGAATGGTTATGGTTCGCTGCTGTGCACAGTTAGCTGCCTTTGAGACATCTCAACGACGTGATAAGGCGCTACATCAAATGCAAGGATTATTATTATTATTATTATTATAGTAACCCATAGCACGGCTAACCCTTGGGAACACGCCCATTCTGTCTACCGTCGCTTCCGCTGAAGGCCTCCGAGTATATCCATCCTTCCATCTCCTCAGAGCTGAGCAGAGTAGGTAAGCAAGAATCATGGTTCTGTTTTTAAGGAGATTTGGACTAATTAAGCGAGAGGACCAAGGAGTGGCAGATGGATTGTGGCGTGAGATCCTCAAGGATTTGCTTGGCCAATTACCCTGGAAGACTTATAGCGGGTGGGAATTGGAACCTGAGAGAGAGAGAGAGAGAGAGGGAGAGAAAGAGGGAGAGAGAGAGAGAGAAAACTGTCGATGTGAGGCTTCTGTCAACACGGCCAAACACACACAAGGCTACATCTCAAGGGCATTTGACTCGAAGCCCAAAGCTGTTATTCTAACCTTGTACAGATCGCTGGTCAGGGGCAGTTTGGAATATCGTGTGAAGAGTTGGGTTCCCTTCGAAAGGAAATGGCAAAAATTGGTGACGGTCGACAGAAGAGTAACATGGATGAGGGGAATTTGCTTTAATTCAAAATACATGATAATAATAATCCTTCGAGACGTCTCAAAGCGCCTTACAGCAGATACTGCAAAGCGGAGTGACTGTGTATTTTGTGGGCGAAACGCGGCAGCCAATTGCGCAGAGCAGCGTCCCCACAAACAGCCGTGGATTGAGTGACCGAATTATTATTATTTTTTTGAAGGAGCTGTTACTCGCCCCCTCCCCTTCCCCCCCCCCCCCCCACCAGAAGGTGATCCCACATTGCTTGAGATTGAGAGAAGGGGACATCGTAATAATAATCTTTGCATTTGACATAACGCCTTATCACCCCTTCTGTCTCACTCTCTCTCCTCTCCCCCTCTGACTCACTCTCTCTCCTCTCCCCCTCTGTGTGTCTCTCTCTCTCTCTCTCTCTCCTCTCCCGCTCTGTCTCACTCACTCTCTCTCTCCTCTCCCCCTCTCCAGGTGCCGGAGGTTGGTCCCCGCTGGAGTCCAACCGGCCCCAGTGGCTGCAGATAGACCTGGGCGAGAGGACGGAGATCACGGCCGTGGCCACACAGGGCAGGTACGGGAGCTCGGACTGGGTGACCAGCTACGCCCTGATGTTCAGCGACTCGGAGAGCAACTGGAAACAATACCGGCATCAAGACAGCATCTGGGTCAGTGCTTCTCATCATTAGCTGCTGTTGTACACCTTCGCGCGCGTGTGCGTGTGTGAGTCACATACATCTGGGCAGGTCACGGCAACGGGAGAGTGTGAGAGCGAGTGCGAACGAGAGAGAGAGAGAGCGAGAGAGAGAGAAAAAGAATAGAGAGACAGCAAATGGTGAGACGTTGTGAGATGGCATCTGGGCAGGTCACGGCAACGGGAGAGTGTGAGAGCGAGCGCGAGCAAGAGAGAGAGAGAGAGAGAGAAAGAGAGATGTTGTGAGACAGCATCTTGACAGGTCAGACAGCAACGGAACATGCGAGAGAGAGAGAGATAGAGAGAGAGAGAGAGAGAGAGAGAGAAAATGAGCAAATGGTGAGAAGCTGTGAAATAGCATCTGTGTAGGTCGTGGCAACCGGGCACTGGAGGTTGTGTTTAGCATGAAACGTTGAGACTTTTAATTAAAATTAGAGCTCGGCGCCCTCCGTTCCACCATTGGCGTTTCCAGGCGCTACCCCCGAAACTCTGGAACGTTCTTCTACCCCTCGCCTCGCGCACCCCCCACACCCCCCCCTTCCTTCCCCAAGGCTGTGGGTTATGGCTGGATCCAGTCACATTGTCCAGACTGAGGTCTAGAGATGTTGGTCACGTCAGGGGATCAAGGGGTTTTGGGGCAAAGGCGGGTATTTGGAGTTGAGGTACAGATCAGCCGTGATCTGATAGAACGGCGGGACGGGCTCGAGGGGCTGCCGGTGGAACTGACAATCTTTGCCACCGCTAGTCTTGGTTAGACGTGTGAAAGGCGCATATTACGGGTAATAATAATCCTGGCATTTGATACAGCGCTTTGTTGCGTCTTCGAGACGCCTCGAAGCCCTTCGCAGAATCTACTGTCAAGTGAATTGACTGTACACTTTTATGGGCGAAACGCGGCAGCCAATTGCGCACAGCAGCGTCCCCACCAACAGCCGTGGATCGAAGTGACCGAGTGTTTTATTTTTAAGGGATCGTTACCCCCGGCAGTGCGATCCCCGCCAATCCACCGTTGAATTTCCTGCTAACCGCTGGGTTAACAGAGGCGTGTGCGTGGAGTGAGGAAACTTGCCTAAGGTTCGGCCCCGTCCGGGAATCGAACCCGGGTCCTCTCGCTCTCGCGAGGCGAGCGCTCTCACCGATACTCTACGTGTATAACCGTGGCTGGTGAAAAGGGGCGTAATTTTGCACGGCATCGCATTGCACATCACAGGGTGTTGCGTCGATTAAGCCGCGATAATGTGAGCGCTAACCACCGCCCCCCCCCCCCTCCACCCGAACCGCAAACCGTAACAGTTATTGTGGTTCTTGGACCCCCGCAACGTTGAGCGCAATCGCACGTGGTCTGCCCGCTCGGAGAGAACATGTAGCGTCCTTGCAGTGATCTCAAGACTGCTAATCACATCTGAAGGTTGCGATGATGATGGTTATTAACTGTCCGTGCTGTACTCTCCGAGCTTCATGAATCCATTAGCATGCCTGAATGAGAACTGTTAGCACTCCGAGGTAGGTATCCATTGTATTTAATTCGGACTCATTGGAAGACTGAGTGCTTAAATGGCCAGAGGTGTGGAATATCACAGAAGCATTAATTCTTATTGGCAGTCTACACAAAACCCCGGTCAAATGGTGAGAGGTACTACAGTTTCAGACCATTGAATCTCATCCTGTTTCACAACACCTCCAGCCCTACAGCCTTCGCTTGACATCCGTGAGCTGCGCCTTCTTCTCAGTCTCTGCCGCTCAGTCTCGAGAGGAGACTATTCAGGAGGTGGGGGGGGAGGGGAGGGGGGGGGGGGGGAAACCTCATACAGGTGAACGCAATTTTAAAAGAGATCGAAAAAGTAAACCCGAACTAATACTTTAGGATTTTATCAATGCAGTAGAATCGTAATAATAATATTAATTGACAATAATAGTCCTTGCTTTTGATCTAACGCCTTAGCGCGTCTTCGAGACGTCTCAAGGCGCTCCACGGAATATACCGTAAAGTGGTGCGACTGTGTATTTTGCGGGCGAAACACGGCAGCCAATTGCGCACAGCAGCGTCCCCCGCAAACAGCCGTGGATTTAGTTACTCTACTCACTCACTGCCTGGTAACTAACCCCAGGTCCTTTTGCTTGCGAGGCGAGTGCTCTAACCAATACCCCACGCGACTCCGAGAACAGGGGACAAGAGGACACGGGTTTCGAGTTGCAAAGGGGCAGTTTCAGGACGGACAGACACCAGGAAGTTTTTCTTTACCCGGAGGATCTTTAACGTCCGCCCGAAAGAGGCAGACAAGACCTCGGGTTTAACGTCCCGTCCACATTGTGGCAGCCTTGACAGTGCAGTGCCCCCACTCCCCCCACCACCACCAGCACTGTACTGGAGCGTCGGCCGAGAGCGTGCGCTCAAAGCCCCGTCACGTGAGGCTTCGAACCGTCCTCTGACTCCGAAGCGAGAGCTCAGGCTGCGACACATGGAAGTTGACACGAGCATCAACGGGGGGGGGGGGAGAGAGACAGAGGGACAGAGGAGTCTGAATCAATTTATTTCTACACAGGATCCCATATGAATTGAATGGAGTGAAGTCTCCTTCTAATTAAAAATTAACCAAACCAGGTTGACAACCTTAAGCTCCGCGTTCGTCAAGCTCGGTCTCCAGATCAGAAGGTTGTGGGCTCAAGCCCCGCTCGCCGTCTAATCGTATGAATAATAATCCTCGCACTCGACTTAGCGTCTCATCACTTCGTCGAGACATCTCAAAGAACATTCTGTAATGTGAATTGACTGCGTAGCTTGTGGGCGAAACGCGTCTGCCAGTTGAGCTCAGCAGCGTCCCCGCAAACGGTCGTGGATTGAGTGACTGCATTTTTTTTTGGTGGGAGGGAGGAGGGATTATGTGTGTGTGTGTGTGTGTGTGTGTGTGTGTGTGTGGAGTAGGGAAACTTGCCTAAGGTTTCGTCCTGACCTGACCCACCCGGGAATCGAACCCGGGTCCTCCCGCTTGCTGAGCTGACGCTCCAGCCTGCCCCGCAGGGCTGAGACGAGCCGGGATCTCGAGTGTAAGCCGTACCTTTGGTGTGACAGATAGCAATCACACGGTGCTGATCAGTGTCAATAAAACAGCAGACAGCGTCCTGTGAAGGAAGATTTCAACCTTGATTAAATCGCATTAAATTTATTCATTGAAACAATCTGAAACGGAGATCCCCTGGACTGATAAACATCGCTGCCAAACAGCTCGAGAACAGTTCTCGTGAGCCAGAAGCTGATGGCCTCGCCAGTGCTCGATTACTTTCTCGTATTGATTCCCTTCGTCTACCTCTGAGCGTCAGACATTAATTGCAGCAACTCAGCAAAGCTTTCCTGAGTTCGCTGTCGCCCACAAAAAAAAATCGCACCACCGTTTCGCCCACGAAACACACAGTCTATCCACTCGACCGGATAGACGTCTCGACAAGGAATTAAACGCGAGGAATTATTATTATTAGAATAATCATCATTATATGAGGAAGCGGATAAAGTGATGGGGGAGGTTGGGGAAAGGGCATCGTGAACCTCTTTGGGGAGGGGGCGGCGGGGAGGAATAATCTTTCGGGCGTAATCACGCTCAGACGCGAGAGAAGGAAGGTGGGTGAGAGCCGGGGGCAGCGGGTGAGGAGTGGGAGCCAGTGGTGAGGGGAAAGAAAGCGGTGGGGGGGGGGGGAACGATGGGCAGAGAACGGGGTGGGGGGCGCGTGGTTAGGGGAGAAATGGGCAGAGAACGGGGGCGAGTGGGGTGAGGGGAGAAGTGGGCAGAGAGCAGGGGGTGGGTGGGGGTGCGTGGGTGAGGGGAGAAGGGTGCAGAGCTGGGAGTTGGGGGTGGGTGGGTGAGCGGGCGGTGGTGGGGTTCGACGTGCGCGAGGAAGGAGTGTTGTAGCGTGCGCCGAGGGGCTGACAAACATCCGAAGCACGAAACAAGCTGCGGGCGGTTGCGGTACTCTCTCCCCAAAGGGTCGGGCTCGCTTGTTATTTCCAACACGTGCGTTTATACAGAGGGTCGGGTCGCGGAGGGCAGCACTGACAGCTCTCGTCTCCACTTGTCTCTCTCTTGGTGCGAGCGCCTTAAGCCTAACCCGCTGGCTGACTCGCTGCGAACCTCGCTCCGGCTTCCGGCAGCCAGAGGCGGAGGAGCCAATTAAAGCCCTTTTTCTCCCACCCCCACCAGCGCCAGAGAGCAGAGCCGCTGGTAACACAGAGCACGGAGCTCGCTACGAGAGGAATGAGAGCTCATTAGAGCAGGTGCCTGACTCCGAATGGAAACCTGACGGGGCTTCTGCTCGGGTCATTAGCAGACACCGCGCTCACAGCACAGCTTGTTTAGCATCCTTCACAGCCGCGAGCTTCGGCCTCGGGGACATACTTCCCCCCCACCCTCCGCCGAACGGCCAAAGCCAAACCCACGAGATGTATTTGCGGGTCCGATCGCTGGTCAGGTCCAGTTTGAAGGCAGGGGACAATTTTATATAATATATGATGTATATATATATAGATATATATAACCTTTGCGTTCCCTACAGCGCCTTCTCGTGTCGTCGTTACGTCTCAAAGGGCCTCGCAGAATACACCGTCAAGCGGAGGGACTGTGTGTTTTTCGTGGGCGAAACGCGGCAGCCAATTTGCGCACAGCGGCGTCCCACATTTTAAACATACAATGGAGGGGTTATTAGCCCCCGGGAAAGTGATCTGCCAATCCACTCACAACCGGGTTCCTACTTACTGCTGGGATAAACAGAGGCGTGTGCATGTGCGTGTGCGCGTGCGCGCGCGCGTGCGTGTGGAGTAAGGAAACTTGCCTAAGGTTTCGAGCTGACCCGAGAAGGTGCTAAACCATCGTGCGACGCGACTCCACGGTTTTGCACGCGGCAGCGTTCCTGCAAACAGCCGGAAAGCGAATGGACACTTTTGTCTGAGGGAATTGTTGAGCGTTAACACCGGAAGAGAGAGAGAGT